TGTTGGCTCATGTTTAACTTGTTGTCCACGAGGACTCCAAGATCTTTTTCACACGTCCTGCTCTCAAGCCAGACCTCATCGCCCCCCATTCTGTATCTTTGCATTTCGTTTTTTCTGCCTAAGTGGAGTATCTTGCATTTGTCCCTGTTGAACTTCATTTTGTTAGTTTTGGCTATTAATCTCTCTAATCTGTCAAGATCGTTTTGAATCTGTCAAGATCGTTTTGATAGATAGATAGACAGAGAGAGAAAGAGAGAGAGAGAGGTAGATAGATAGAGAGAGAGAGAGAGAGAGAGAGATATTGCGGAGTAGGGCCAGAAAAAGCGGAGAAGCAATTGAAATGAACCGGGAGCTCTTGTATGTCTCATCGTATGAAGCTTTTAGTTATGAAAGCGGGGAGGGAGAGAGGTCGATAAACGAATGTATGCAAAGGGCAAAGGCGAGGCACCACTGGGGTCACCTAATGAATTGAGTGGTGGGATACGCAAGAGAGTGGCGAACCTAAGTGTTCTGTGTACAAGGCGTAATTAGACCACGAAATTATTGGAAGATGTAGTAATGGCTTTAAAGAGGATTAGACAAATTGATGGCAGATAAGGCTGCACATGGTTAGCAAGCGTGATGCTAATCAGTTTTAGGAACAGTATACTCCCAAATACCATTTACTAGAGTAGTGTTTCTCAACCTGGGGGTTGGGACCCCTGAGGGGGTCGCGAGGGGGTGACAGAGGGGTCACCAAAGACCGTAAGAAAACACAGTATTTTCTGATGGTCATGGGGATTCCATGTGGGAAGTCTGAGCCAATTCTATCGTTGGTGGAGTTCAGAATGTTCTTTGATTGTAATGAACTATAAATCCCAGCAACTACAACTCCCAAATGTCAAGATCTATTTTCCCCAGACTCCACCAGTGTTAACATTTGGGCATATTGAGTATTTGTGCCAAGTTTGGTCCAGATCCACCATTGCATGAGTCCACAGTGCTCTCTGCATATAGGTGAACTACAACTCCCAAACTCAAGGTCAATGCCCATCTTACCCTTCCAGTGTTTTCCATTGGTCATGGGAGCCAAGTTTGGTTCAAATCCATCGCTGGTGGAGTTCAGAATGCGCTTTGATTAAAAGTGAACTATAAATCCCAGCAACTACAACTCCCAAATTACAAAATCAGTCCTCCCCCAACCCCACTACCATTCATATTTGGGTGTATTGGGTATTTGTGCCCAGTTTGGTCCAGTGAAAGAAAATGCATCCTGCAGATCAGATATTTACATTATGATTTATAACAGTAGTAAAATGACTGTTATGAAGTAGCAACGAAAACAATATTATGGTTGGGGGTCACCACAACATGAGGGATTGTATTAAGGGGTCACGGCATTAGGAAGGTTGAGAACCACTGTACTACAGTAAGGCTATATACGTCTATTTATTTATTTATTTATTTATTTACTTCATTTATTGACCGCCGCTCTCAGCCCTAGGGCGACTCGCGGCGTGCACAACATATAAAAAACAGTTTACAAAAGACAGAAACAAGCAATCAATACAACAATAATACTATAGTTACACTAAATAATCCGCTCCGTCATATCCTGGAATCATAACCAATATCATCATCCGTAAACCGTTCCAATTGTCAATTTCTCATTGCCGTAGCGCTCAGTTGAATGCCTTCTCAAAAAGCCAGGTCTTCAGGCTCCGACGGAAGGACAAAAGGGAGGGCGCCTGTCTGATGTCAGCAGGGAGGTCGTTCCACAGCCGGGGGGCCACCACCGAGAAGGCCCTTTCTCTCGTCCCCGCCAGATGTGCCTGTGAAGCAGGCGGGATCGAGAGAAGGGCCTCCCCGGACGATCTCAAAGTCCTCGTGGGCTTATAGGCCAAGATGCGGTCCGAAAGGTATTTTGGGCCGGAACCGTTTAGGGCTTTGTAGGATAACACCTATTATTATTAACTATTATTATTAACTAGCACTAACACAATGGGTCTGAATATGTACGCTCACAGCAATAAAATAAGGCTGTTATGGCTTAAGGCAGGGATGGGCCTTCAGGTGTTTTGGACTCCAACTCCCACCATTCCTCACAGCCTCTTCCTTCCCCCCCCCCCCCCCCCCCCCCTCAGCTGCTTAAGGAAGGGGCCTGAGGCTGTTAGGAATGGTGGGAGTTGAAGACCAAAACACCTGGAATGAGGGCCAAAATTTGCCCATGTCTGATATGGAATAAGGTGTGTCATATCCACGTCTGGATGTGCATCTACCAGGAGGGCTTTGATCATGCCTCTTTTTAAGGCAGAAGAGGGCTGGATGGATGACCCTTGGGGTTCCCTTCTGAGGGCTTCCTTGGGGCCTTCATCATTATCCCTGATTGGGCCCTTTAGGGATGCACCTGTGGCTCAGGTGTGCACCAGGGACCGCAAGGGACTCTGTTGCTGGGGTGACACACCTGGCGGCAGGTGCGGGAAGAAAAGGGGGGATATTAGAGAGGGCCTGAAGCATCAAGATGAATGGCCTGGACGAAGGGAAGGCAGCGCTCATCCAGACAAGGAAGAGCAGCCGTGGGGGGGACAGCGATGACCCCAAAACCCCCAGGTAAGCCTTTCATGAGGGAGAAGGAAAGGACACTTCTTCCAAGCCAAGGAGACGTTGTTGTTGTTGTGGCTGTTGTTGTTATTGTTCTACTGACTCAACTCTCCTGCGCCATCGAATCTAATGCACATCTCCATTTCCAAAACCCTGAAACCAAAAATAATATTTTCTGCTGAATGTAATGCGTTCTAATGTTGTAATTGCCTTGGTCCAATGCTGTGGAATCATTGGGAGTGGGGTTAGTTTTGCAAGGTCTCGAGCCTTCTCTGCCCAAGGATGCTGGCGCTTCACCAAACTACAAATCCCAGGGTTACATCGCATTGAGCCATGACCAATTAGAGATGCAGTCCCTTAAAGAGGCCATCCAGAAGCAGCTTCCCCTTTGGCTTTGACTCAGGATGAATTTTGGGAAGGTCATTTAACCTAAAAAGTTGAGCATCAGATTCAAGTAAATAGGATATTATTATTATTATTATTATTATTATTATTATTATTATTATTATTATTATTATTATCGTCATCATCATTTTTGGAAAATGGAAATCTCCATAACATTTTGGAGATGTTATGATCTTTGGGAAAGCATGACCTTGACAGAAGTCATAACCTTTTTGGAAAATGGCATTCATGCAAGACAATTACATTTCTCAGTTGTTAAACTGATGTACCTACCTAGGCATGTCTTTGAACTGCTAGGGACAAAGACATGCCAATGCACAAAACACACACACACATATCCAGCAGAGTTTCAGAAGTGTTCTTTCAGTTGCCCAAAAGCATCTACTCTTTCTTAAAACACCTTGGTTTAAATCATGCTCTCAAGAGACAAAAATAAGCAGATTTATTTAAAAGTAACATAGTTGATTTACTCACAAACTTCATGTATTCAGCATACAGGTGGATTGCCTATTAATCCAGTTACAGATGGGATTTGAAATATTTTCACTGTGAAGATAACATAGGGCATTTTTCTTAGAAAGTCTAATGCAGCGGTTCTCAACCTGGGGGTCGTAGTCCCCAGGGGGGTCGCCTGGCCATTTCGGAGGGGTCATTGTTGGGGTTCAGTCTGATCCTGATCTGTGTGAACAGGATTCTCTGATAGTTTTTCAAACTGAGCAAGCTCTCCCTGACTATGACAGTGTGGAATCTGTTGTTGATGCAGAGGTCAGTGGGAATGAAAACGAAACCCAGCAGTTAGAAGAGAATGTTTTGGAAGTTAGCCGTGATATCTCCCCACCTGGGCTTGATAATGAGGTCCGAAGAGAACAGATAGTGAGAGATAGATTTGTTTCCCAGTCACAGCGTATCCAGCAGAAAGAGGCCCAAACAGAAAAGTCAAGGGGCGTTTCTAAGAATAGCTTCTTTGGTTTAAGAGCATCCCTGCCGGGTGCTTCTTTAGGTCAAGCAACGTTCGGGACTGTGGCTGGTCTTGGCAGAATTCCTGTGTTCCATGGCCAGTAATCCCAGAGGCTTGTAGTTTCCAAGTTCATGGTTAGTAAAAGGCTAACAGACTCCTGGTTATTGTTTTGTGGCTTTTGAAGTTTTGCTCAAGTTCAGAGATCCTACTGACTACTGTGTTTTTCTGTGGCTTTTTTACTCTGCATTTATCTTTCTTTTGTAACCAATTTTTCATCAATAAACAAGGATTGCTTTTCCTACAGTCCAGAGTGGTGGATTTAATCTTATGGTCTTGTTTCTTGAACTGGGATGCAACAGTCACGAGGCCACCGCTGTTGGCACCGCCCCAAGGGCACAAGCCAGGTGAGGGCTCCTTCGCACGAGGCCTGGCCTCGCACAAAGCCCACCTTGCCTGCCTCGCTCTCTCACCATCCAGCGAGGGCAGGAAGCAGGCGAGGGGTCCTTCACACAAGGCCTGGCCTTGTGCAAAGCCCACCTTGCCTGCCTCGCTCTCTCACCATCCAGCGAGGGTGGGAGGCAGGCGAGGGGTCCTTCACACAAGGCCTGGCCTTGTGCAAAGCCTGCCTCGCTCTCTCGCCATTCGGCGAGGGCATGGGGCAGGCGAGGGGTCCTCCGTGTGAGGTCTGGCCTCGCGCAAAGCCTGCCTTGGCTGCCTCACTCTCTCCAAACACTGCTAATCAACACCAAAAGACTAGAAGGATCCACAAGAAGAAGACCCCTTAAACAGGATTTCCACAGCACATGAACTTGATTTCCAAACGATGCCTGATCTAACAGGTTTCCCCTTGAGGCAAACCTTATATCCCAAAACTCAGAAATTGGTTTCGCTTTCCCCTACATTTACCCCTTATCAGACGAAGCCTTTCAGAGCGACGTAAACACTGAGTTTGCTGTCGATCCTGGCTAATCTCCAGCCGCCTATTCTTCAGCTCCCTATCTGGCTGCTCATTAAAATTCCCAGGTGTCAGATTGTTTTCCAAACCCAAATCTTGAGAGCTCACACAGAGAGGGAGTGAACCATCATTGCTAGCCCAGCAAGGATATTCTCATGAGAAACTGCCCTTTGCACTGGGGCCTCTCTGTCATTCTCTGCCTGAAAATCATTGACCAAACCATCTCCATCTTGTACCTCAGCCTCGGCACCATCATTTCCCTCATCATTTCCCACATCAGGATCCTGAAACACAAACACAGGCTGATTCCCTACACTTACAGAATACTCAACCCTTTAGAACTAAGACTTACATTAACCCTTCCATCACCAACTGCTAGGCCTACCACCACCAACCACCATCAACTGCAGAACATGATACACGACACTGATTAACCCAGTGTACCTGTCCGAACGTATCTCCTTCTACGTCCCACCTCGGAGTTTAAGATCTTCTGGGGAGGCCCTGCTCTCGGCCCCACCTTTATCACAAGTGAGGCTGGTGGGGACGAGAGACAGGGCCTTCTCAGTGGTGGCCCCTCGCCTGTGGAATTCACTCCCCGGGGAAATTAGGTTGTCAACATCCCTCCTCTCCTTCAGGAGAAAGCTGAAGACATGGATATGGGACCAGGCATTTGGGTAGTCTGGCAGGGTAACAAGGTAATGATGACTAGAGTTGGAAAGGACTATGGCAATGCTAAACGGATTGACGGATTTTAGAACACGATGAACGCAGGCTTTAGAGCGGTTTTAGTTGATATTGTATTGTGTTATATTGTACTGTATTAATTGTCTGTTTTTAATCTATTGTGTTATTGTTATTGCATTTTATTGTAATTGTGGGCATCGAATTGTGCCGGATGTAAGCTGCCTTGAGTCCCCCCTAGGGGGTGAGAAAGGCGGGGTATAAATGACCGAAATAAATAAATAAATAAACATGATACATAACAAATGGAGTCTGGGTCCCGAACAGTCCCAGATCATATCCCTACAAGGAGCCCCTCCCACAACATAGAGTTAAGGAAAACTGCATACACACACACACATACATACAATACAGTAAGAAATCTGAATTACAGTAGAGTCTTGCTTATCCAGCCTTTGCTTATCTGACATTCCGTCTTATCTGACGCTCTTACCCGACGCCCTCCTTTTCCTCCAGCATTTCCCCTTCAATTTAAGGAGTGTTCCCCAACACTCTCTCCATTCCCAATAAGTGAAAAGGGTAAGACGAGGAGGAGGAGGAAGAGGGAGGAAAGGGGGGAAAGAGGCAGGACTGGAAGCGGAAACACCCTTCCTCCTTCCCCCTGTGATTTCCACGCTCCTCTTCCACATCCGGGCACTTCCTGCTGGACCCTCTAGCCCTGAGGCGTTGCCTTGTCTTAACTCTTTGAGTCCCTGTTGTTAGTATTCTACATGTCTAGGGCCGCGTCGGACGGGTAACAGTAGGAGACTCTGTATTATCTGACATTTTCGTTTATCCGACGTTCTGCCAGTCTCTCGAATAAGCGAGACTCTACTGTATGTACATAACAAATAACTAATGGAAGCTTGAAGAAGGTATCTATTTCCAACAGTCATCATCTTTACTTATGTCCCACATTTCTCCCCGTAGAGATATGAACATAGGCCCAGTGAGGCTGGGATGGGGGGGAAATGGCTCACCCCATTGAGAGTAGGGGGCTTGGGCCTGGGCATTCCTTCAAGACCCTCTTTCCCTCTGTCTTTCCTACAGAGCCTTACTCCAGAGCCCCCCTCTTTGTCTCAGCTATGGACCTCAATCGGAGAAGAACTGGGTCCTGGACCCTTCTGGAGACGACTATTATCGGTGGCTGCTTGTGATGGTGGCCCCCATCACCTACAACTGGATCTTCCTCATCAGCAGGTAATAACATTGTGGGGGAGGGGGGAGATCCAAATGGGTTCATTATGGTTCCAGACCTGGAATGATCCAGAAACACGCCATGAGTTGTCTATTGGCAAATTATCTATCGTATTGCTGTTACGGTTAACCCAGGCATGGGCCAATTTCAGCCCTCCAGATGTTTTGGACTTCAACTCCGACCATTCCTCACAGCCTCGGGCCCCTTCCTTTTCCCCCCCAGCCTGAGGCTGTGAGGAATGGTGGGAGTTGAAGTCCAAAACACCTGGAAAGAGACCCAAAATTTGCCACATGAAGGGAGGGCAGAAGTTTGCCCATGCCTGCATTAAGTCATAACATCATTATTTTATTGCTGTGAGTGTACGGATTCAGACCCACTGTGTTAGTGCTAGCTACTTAGCCTCCTAGTTTGTTCCCATTCTCTATGAGAAGATTTATGGCCTTGCTGTGTCAACCAGGTTTCTACTCCCAGATACATCACCACTTAAGTAGCTGAGGGGGAAAAGGAAGGGGTCTGAGGCTGTTAGGAATGATGGGAGTTGAATTCCAAAACACGTTTTCTTCCTCTTCCTCAGGTCCTGCTTCTCCGATCTGCAGGAGAAGTACCTCTTCCTGTGGCTGGCCTTGGACTACCTCAGTGACCTGATCTACCTGGTGGACATCGGGGTGCACTTCCGCACCGGTCAGTGCCCCCCTTTCCTCTAGGAAATGATTGAGGGCCACAGAGTCCTTCCTCTCCTCCCTTGCCCCACTCCAGAAGACAGGAGCAGAAGGTTCACAGATGAGTTGTCCAAAACTAATACAATGAAGCTCAATAGGGACAAATGGAAGATACTCCACTTAGGCAGAAAAATGGAAATGCAAAGAGACAGAATGAGGGACGATGATGCCTGGCTCGAGAGCAGGACGTGGGAAAAAGATCTTGGAGTCCTCATGGGGAGGAAGGGGAACAGGAACCAGGAATGTGATGCGGTGGCAAAAAAAGTCAACAGGATTTTGGCCTGCATCAAGAGGAGCCTAGTGACTAGATCCAGGGAAGTCATGCTCCCCATGCTCTATTCTGCCTTGCTTAGACCTTACTTACTTACTTACTTACTTACTTACTTGCTTGCTTACTTACTTGGGCGATCCCTCGTTGTCCAAGTAGGATAATCCTCCAGCGTGGATCCGTAGGTGACTGTGAAGCCCTATGCATCTTCTCCTGCAGTGAGGGCATTGCTTTCCAGGTGGAAGGTGGTCCCAGTCGGGGTTGGCTTGATGCGCCTTCCTCTTGGCACGTTTCTCTCTTTCGCCTTCCATTCGTGCCTCTTCAAATTCTGCAGCACTGCTGGTCACAGCTGACCTCCAGCTGGAGCGCTCACGGGCCAGGGCTTCCCAGTTCTCAGTGTCTATGCCAGAGTTTTTAAGGTTGGCTTTGAGCCCATCTTTCAATCTCTTTTCCTGCCCACCAACATTCCGTTTTCCACTCTTGAGTTCGGAGTAGAGCAACTGCTTTGGGAGACGGTAGTCAGGCATCCGGACAACATGACCGGTCCAGCAGAGTTAATGGCGGAGGAGCATCGCTTCAATGCTGGTGGTCTTTGCTTCTTCCTGCATGCTGACATTTCTCCGCCTGTCTTCCCAAGAGATTTGCAGGATTTTCCGGAGGCAGTGCTGATGGAATTGTTGCAGGAGTTGCATGCGATGTCTGTAGACAGTCCACGTTTCGCAGACATAGAGCAGGGTTCGGAGGACAGTCTGTTCTTTCCCCTTTTTTGAAGAGGGTGATGATGGTGGCATCCTTGAAATCTGCTGGGATTTTCCCGGTCACCCACACTTTTTCAATGAGCTGGTGGAGTTGTTGTGTCCGCTCAGGTCCTCCCTCTTCAAAGATTTCAGCAGGGATCCCATCAGGTCCGCTGGTTTGTTATTTTTTTGTTGGCTGATGGCATTGCTGACTTCTTCCAAACTAGGCAGTGCTGCAAACTTATCCTGGGTTTGTTGTTGCTTAGACCACACTACCTGGAATCACACTGTGTCCAATTCTGGGCACTGCAATTGAAGGGAGATATTGACTCTAAGCTGGAATGTGTCCAGAGGAGGACGACTAAAATGATCAAGGGCCTGGAAAACAAGCCCTATGAGGAGCGGCTTAAAGAGCTGGGCATGTTTAGCCTGAAGAAGAGAAGGCTGAGAGGAGACATGAAAGCCATGTATAAATATGTGAGGGGAAGCCACAGGGAGGAGGAGGGAGCAAGCTTGTTTTCTGCTTCCTTGGAAACTAGGACGCAATGGAACAATGGCTTCAAACTACAAGAGAGGAGATTCCATCTGAACATGAGGAAGAACTTCCTGACTGTGAGAGCCATTCAGCAGTGGAACTCTCTGCCTCGAAGTGTGGTGGAGGCTCCTTCTTTGGAAGCTTTGAAACAGAGGCTGGATGGCCATCTGTCGGGGGTGCTTTGAAGGCAATTTTCTTCTTTCTTGGCAGAATGGGGTTGGACTGGATGGCCCACCAGGTCTCTTCCAACTCTAGGATTCTATGATCCATACCTGCAAAGTCCACCTGGGAGCCACCTGCTGCTCTCCAAGGTGAGCTGCAACCCCACGGCTCTCCACTGGGGGGCAGCAGCAGCTCACCTGCAGGAACCTGGCCAGACTGACCAAACTGAGCAAGAGGCGCATGGTGACCATTGATGGGATTCTCTCCTTCAATAACAATAACTATGTAACACAATTTGAAAAAAAATCTTTTCTTGGTTTGACTCAGCACTGAGATGACCATATGATGTGAATCTAATGCACACCCTCATTCTGGGGAGGTAATTTAGCCCAAAAAGGTGACCATTAGACTCATAGTGTCCATAGAAGAGCAGAGGGCAGCATCGCCCATGCTATACATGAGCTTCAGGGAGGAAACAGGATGGGAGAGACACAGGAAGATGCCCTGGGAAGGATTATATCAAGAGGCAAAAGCTCTCATCGTTGCAGGTGATTCATCTCAGCCGAAAGAGCAGACGGACCAGGCGTGGGCCAACTTCAGTCCTCCCTCCAGGCAGCTCCCTGGAGGGACTTCAGCTCCCACCATTCCTATCAGCCTAGGTTGAATTGTGGGAGTTGAAGTCCAAAACACCTGGAGGGAGGACCGAAGTTGGCCCATACCTGAGACAGTTCTCCATTTGGGTTCTTTCCATCTGCAATTGCTCCAAGTGTTGACGCTTCTTCACTTACGACCCTGTGAATGTAGAAGAGCCATGGGAACCCAAAGGCCATCTAGTCTGATCACCCTGCTTCCTCCTTCTGTGATAAATACATGAAAGGTATATGAACGAGGTCTGGCCAAGACCGAAGACACCATCCTAGGAAGATTGGAACCTGGGGAAATGGCATTGTGGACAACTGCAAAAGAAGATGAAGTTCTAACATGACTCTTGAGTTGAAAACAACATATTTACATAGTCATAGACAACGGTTCTTTAAGTTAGGGATGTCAAACACAATGCACCTTCCTTAAGAAGGGAAACCAACATCACTTAAGGAAGAAAAGCTAACGTCTGATAGAGATGATATAGTCAGCAAGTTTTAGCTGCAAAACAACCTGTCATCTATTTACAGGATTTATATTCCTTCCTTCTCACCCTGCAGGGGACTCAGGGCGGATCGCAATGCACGTATACACGGCAAACATAGACACACAACATATATAGGCAGACACACAGAGGCTATTTAACATTCCAGCTTCATGAGAGTACCCTTTGAATTCTGGCCACCTGGGGAGCTGTCGCTTCACCATCCACCATCCACTTATGGAGTACTTCCTCATTCTTTGCACACTGCTGGAGAGTTTTATGGCATCGCAAATTAGTTAAATTAGCCTCCCCGCATAAGCAGTACCTAAATTTCCTACTTGACAGGTGCAACTGCCTTTCGGGCTGCAAAGATCAACAGCAAGCTAGACAAATGGCCAGAAGCTCACTCCAACCCAGGCTGGCTTTGAACTCATGACCTCTTGGTCAATTGATTTTATCATGTTTTTTATATTATCTTAATTGTTTTACTGTATTTTTATTCTTTGATGTCTGACTGTAAACTGCCCCGAGTTGCCTTCAGGCTGAGACGGGCGGTATATAAATATAGCAAATAAATAAATAAATAAATAAATAAATAAATAAATAAGTAAGTAGTGATTTTAATGCAGCTGGCTCCCAACCAGCTGCACCACAACCTAATCCCTGCACCACAATCCTGTCCCATTTACAACTTTTTGGAACAACAGCAGAAAGAAACATGTTATATAAGAGACCTTTTTACTATCCAAAAGTGTGGCAGACAGTTCACCTGTTCCAAGGGACAGAGGAAAATGTGTATTTGCAGAATGGCAGATTTGCAAGGATCACGATCTGGCCCACGTCCGAATCTCTTCTTGAGGAGATGGAAGAAGGGATGGAAAATGAATGAATGATGAACGAGTGCTATTTATTTATTTATTTATTTGCTCTATTTATACCCCGCCTTCCTCTCCCCTGAAGGGGACTCAAGGTGGTATACATGGAGGCTATTCATCTATTTATTTATTGTGTCAGGAGCGAACCAAACGGTTGTATTGCATTAAAAAACAAACAAACAAACAAAACACAATGTTTGCAAACTTAGTATTTGATTAAATGTCCTTTGACCAGTAGCTGGCCCCTTGGAGTGCCTCTGGTGTTGCTATAAGAAGGTCCTCCATTGTACATGTGTTTTAATGCCTTTGAAAACATACAATTCCATTTTAAAAAAATAAAATAAAATATATGTTAGAATAAGTGTGAATGTTTCCCCCTTTTTTGTTTGTTTGTGTAACCAATGTAGTTATAAAGTAGACATGGGCAAACTTGGGCTTTCCAGGTTTGGATACATGTGTTTGTTCTATGGCATGTTGGTCTAAAGATGAGTTATACCCGGTGCAGTGTCTGCCAAAAACCATTCCCTTGGCCTTGGAGTAATGTATTGACAGGTCTTCCTCTTGGCAGTAGGTACTGAAAGCCTTCAGAAGACATTTAAGACCCAACCGAGAGCAGGAGATGAGCACTATATCATCTGCGTACATCAGAATGAAAATATTTCTGTTCCTGATTGCTGGGGAAGGAGAGTCAATTATAGCTCTTTAAGACATGTTTTACAAGCTGTAAGGAATTGTGGGAGTTGGAGTCCAAAACACCTGGAGGGCCCAAGTTTGCCTATACCTGGTATACTAAAAAATATTCATGACATCTCTCTCTCCCCCCACCCTCTCTGTCTCTCATCTGGCAGGCTTCCTGGAGGAAGGGCTGCTGGTGGCAGACCCCAGGGCCATTGCCCGGCGCTACATGGGCTCCACGACCTTCCGCCGGGATGTTGCCTCGCTGCTCCCGACGGACCTGCTGTACCTGTGGCTGGGCCTGGGCTGCCCGCTGGGGGTGCGTGCCAACCGCCTGCTGCGCAGCCCCCGCCTGCTGGAGGCCCTGGACCGGACAGAGACCCGCACCACACACCCTCACGCTTTCCGCCTGCTCAAGCTGGTCTCCTGCATCTTCGCGGGCATCCACTGGCACGGCTGCCTCTACTTCGCCCTCTCGGGGCACATCGGCTTCGGGGCGGACGGCTGGGTCTGTCGTGAATACTTTTCAAACATTCAAAAGCACTAAAAGTGTTCTTTTATTTAGTTCACAATGAAACAGAGTATAACGTATTGTCGAATTCCTTCATGGCTGGAATCATTGGGTTGTTGTAGGTTTTTTCAGGCTATATGGCCATGGTCTAGAGGCATTCTCTCCTGACGTTTCGCCTGCATCTATGGCAAGCATCCTCAGAGGAATTGAGGTATTGACGCTCTCTACGTGGGGTTGCCCTTGAAGACAGCCCGGAAGCTTCAATTGGTCCAACGTGCGGCAGCCATGATACTAACAGGAGCGGGACGCAGGGAGCATACAACTCCCTTGTTGTACCAGCTCCACTGGCTGCCGATTTGCTACCGGGCTCAATTCAAGGTGCTGGCGCTGGCCTATAAAGCCCTAAACGGTTCCGGCCCAAGATACCTATCCGACCGCATCTCGACCTACGAGCCCACCAGGACTTTGAGATCGTCCGGGGAGGCCCTGCTCTCGATCCCGCCTGCCTCACAGGCACGCCTGGCGGGGACGAGAGATAGGGCCTTCTCGGTGGTGGCTCCTCGGCTGTGGAACACCCTTCCCGTGGACATCAGACTGGCTCCTTCCCTGATGATATTCCGCAGGAAATTAAAGACTTGGCTGTTCAAGAAGGCGTTCGAACAAGAAGTGCAATAATTGGTAATGACGATAGGAATGGAACAACGGAAAATGATACTGGATTGTGGTTTAGACGATGAGACGACGTGGAATGGCTTTTGTAGTAATGATGATGATAAGCACAGTAAATAAATAAATAAATAAATACCTCTGAGGATGCTTGCCATAGATGCAGGCGAAATGTCAGGAGAGAATGCCTCTAGACCCATGATGGCGAACCTATGACATGTGTGTCAGCACTGACGCGCGTAGCCATTTTCGGTGACACACGGTCGCATGTGGCCGCATACAGAGGAGATGTGGCCACATCCCAGGAAAGACATTCCATCCTCGGCTCCTACACCAGCATTTTTCTATAATCCCGAGATATACGGCATTATAGAAAAAGCAGGTAAGTTAAATAATTAGCTTTTGGTTTATTAAATGCAGTTCTATGTTACAATAATATATTTTTGTTATTAAACTATAAATATCATGAAATTATGTGTTTTTCTCGAAGTGACACCCCACCCAAGTTATGCTTGTTTTTTTGGCAAGTATTGACACTCAAAAGATTGCCCATCATTGCTCTAGACAATGGCCATATAGCCCGAAAAAACCTACAACAACCCAAACAGAGTATATGTGTTGTCTAAGGCCTTCATGGCTGGAATCACTGAGTTGCTGTGAGTTTTTTGGGCTCCAGCAGCATTCTCTCCTAATGTTTCACCTGCATCTGTGGCTGGTATCTTCTGAGGGCTGTTGGAAATGAGGCAAGTGGAGTGTATATATCTGTGGAATTTTCAGGGTCGTGGAAAGAACCCTAGTCTGTTCGAAGCAATTGTGAATGTTGCAATTAGCTGCAAGAACAAGCCACGAGAGTAAAGACAAAAATCCACACGGAGGCAAAGTCTTCTTACCATACATCAAGGCAACCATTGACCGCATAGGGAACCTGATGGAGAAACACAAGCTCCAAATGATCTAGGGACCCACCGAGAAACTCAACCAATGCAATGTCCAGCAAAGGACACCTCTGCAGGGGTCTCCCATATCCCATGCAGCTGTGGACAAGTCTACAGAGGGACCCCCAAACGCAGCAGCATTGCCCAGACACGAATCAAGGAACATGAAAGGCCCTGCAGACTAACTCAACCAGAGAAGTCAGCCATAGCAGAGCACCTGAGGAACCAACCTGGACACAGGATATTATTTGAGAACACAGAAATGCTGGACCACTCTCACAACCACCAGGTCAGGCTACACAGAGAAGCCATTGAAAACCACCAGAAGCATGTGGACAATTTCAACAGAAAGGAGGAAACCATGAAAATGAACACAATCTGGTCGCACAATCAAGGAAGCAAATAAAGAACATCACTCGGAAACAGGGGAACTCCAGGCAGCAAACAATCAAGTGACAGTTAACACCTACCAAACAGAGGATGCCTCCAGGCAGTAATAGCCAGGCTTTGCAACTGCAAGGCTACTTAACTGCAGCATGCTTCAAACAGACAAAGGTTCTTTCTCCCATATATATCCACAGATATATACACTCCACTTGCCTCATTCCCACAGACCTCAGAACAAACCAGCCACAGATGCAGGTGAAACGTCAGGAGAGAATGCTACTGGAACATGGCCATACAGCCCGAAAACTCACAACAATCCAGACAGAGTATATTACAGAGCAATATAGAGAAAGAAAATAGACATACAGACTCTATACCTACTTTGGGTGCACAAACAAGGGGATCTTACATTTCACTCAACATTCACATGCATGTACACATTCACTTCTCATCACACAGATACACATTCCCATCTCCTCTTCCTTCTCCTGGAAAAGAGAACCCAAACATAGGCCAGATTGCAATCCCTGCAAATCCACCATTCTGCGAATACACCATCTCCCTCCATCTCTTGGAGAAGATCGGCGGCTGGACCAGACTCCTCCTGTCTGCCACAGTTTTGGAATAGTAAAATGTCTCTTATATAGCAATATTTCTTGCTGATGTTCCAGTTTTGCCAGTGTTTTGCCAGTGAAGACATCCTAACTCAGTTCCTGGATGGATTCTGATTTTGCTTCCTTAAGTGATAATTGGTTTTCCTTCTTAAGTAAGGAGCCTTGTTTGCTTCCTTAACTTCACTTATAAGAGTCATTGTCTTTGGTAATGTAAACATGTTGTTTTCCACCAAGAGTTCAACAGTTAATCATTTGTTTCTGGTCACCAATGTCATTAGTTCAGCAGTTCTCATCAGTAACTTTTTGTAGTTTTCCAGGCCTTATTGCTTAGGTTGGCATATTTAGGCTATATAGACCCCAGTCATACTCCTTTCATGCAATTCCATTAAAACCATACTGTTATGGAACGGGGTCCCAAGACCCTCTGGGATCTTACCAGTCTGCTATGGATCCGAAGCAAGAGTCCAAACAGTTAGAGGGCAAACACAGGTTTATTCATATTGCGCAATAAGAAGGCGGACAGACAGCATAACGCAGTATGCCGGTACCAAGCCATCCGCCCCAACTGGGACAAACATCAGGGTTTATATGCCTTACTTGTTGACAACTTAAGGTTCTCCTTTATCCTTATTTGGCATAGCATTAAGCAAACATTTCCTTTAGCATAAACATCTTCAGGAAGGAGCTTACCACAAAGTTTCCTTTTCAGTAAACAACCCCCATACATGGTAATATTGCATATATTGCACGTAGCAACCACATTTCAGTAACATAACAAGCCCCTTACAGTTAACGTGTAGCAACCTTTGGGGTTAAGCAGAAGCAGTCATGGAGCAAGCGTGTCTTGGTCAATCTTCCTGTTTATCACAAGTACCAAGTTCGGCACTGCTCCAGGCACCTTGCAATGTTTCCAATGTAATCTGCATGCAGTCTATAAGCCTATGTGCCTGAAACCCCCCATTGTACCTCCAATACATGTCTGAAGCCCTCTCAATTCATCATTTATTTCATGACAACTCCATCAGTTCCTGGACAGATGTTGACTTTGCTTCCTTAAGTGATCATTGGTTTTTCTTCCTAAGGAGCGTTGTTTGCTTCCTTCTTAATGTAAGGAACCTTGTAAACAATTCTCTAACTTAAAAAAATCATTGCCTTTGGTAATGTAAACATGTTGTTTTCCACCAAGAGTTCGACAGTTAATAATTTGTTTCCAGTCATCAATGTCAGCAGTTCTCATCAGTATTTTTTTTGTAGTTTTCCAGGCCTTATTGCTTAGGTTGACATATTTAGGCTATATAGACCCCAGACATGCTCCTTTCACACAATTCCATTCAAACCATACATCATTTATTTCATGACAACTCCATCAGTTCCTGGACAGATGTTGACTTTGCTTCCTTAAGTGAAAATTGGTTTTCTTTCCTAAGGAGTGTTGTTTGCTTCCTTCTTAATGTAAGGAACCTTGTAAACAATTCTCTAACTTAAAAAAATCATTGCCTTTGGTAATGTAAACATGTTGTTTTCCACCAAGAGTTCAACAGTTAATAATTTGTTTCCAGTCATCAATATCAGCAGTTCTCATCAGTAATTTTTTTTGTAGTTTTCCAGGCCTTATTGCTTAGGTTGGCATAGTTAGACTATATAGACCCCAGTCATACTTCTTTCATGCAATTCCATTGAAACCATGCATCGTTTATTTCATGACAACTCCATCAGTTCCTGGACAGATGTTGACTTTGCTTCCTTAAGTGATCATTTCTTTCCTTAGGAAGTTTTCTTTCCTAAGAAGCATTGTTTGCTTCCTTCTTAATGTAAGGAACCTTGTAAACAGTTCTTTAACTTTAAAAAAATAATTGCCTTTGGTAATGTAAACATGTTGTTTTCCACCAAGAGTTCAACAGTTAATAATTTGTTTCCAGTCATCAATGTCAGCAGTTCTCATCAGTATTTTTTGTAGTTTTCCAGGCTTCATTTCTTAGGTTGGCATAGTTAGGCTATATAGACCCCAGTCATACTTCTTTCATGCATACATCATTTATTTATTTCATGACAACTCCATCAGTTCCTGGACAGATGTTGACTTTGCTTCCTTAAGTGATCATTGGTTTTCCTTCTTAATGAGCGTTGCTTGCTTCCTTCTTAATGTAAGGAACCTAGTAAACAATTCTTTAACTTAAAAAAACTCATTGCCTTTGGTAATGTAAACATGTTGTTTTCCACCAAGAGTTAATCATTTGTCTCTGGCCCTCAGTGTCAGCAGAAACTTTTAATTACAGTTCATGAGTTCACCTTTTGTAGTTTCATACAATTTCATTCAAGCCGTTCATCATGTTTTATGGCAGGTCTACCCGAACATGAGTGATCCTGACTTCGGACGGTTGTTGCGCCAGTACCTGCACTCCTTCTACTTCTCGACGCTGGTACTGACCACAGTGGGGGACACACCAGAGCCGAGCCGTGAGGAGGAGTTCCTCTTCATGTCCGCCGGGTTCCTGCTAGCTGTGCTGGCCTTTGCCACCATCATGGGCAGTGTGGCCTCCGAGGTGGCCGACATGGGCCGGGCCGAGGCCTCCTTCCTCCCAGAGCACGACCCTATCAAGGCCTACCTGAGTGAAATGCAGGTGGAACCCCGGCTGCGGCACCGTGTGAACGACTGGCTGAGGCACCTGCGCATGAACCGCAAGATGATCCGGGAGGACCGGGCCCTACGACACCTGGCCCCACACCTGCGTGCTGAAGTGGTGTCCGCCGTCCACCTCCCCACCCTGCGCAAGGTCCAGATCTTCCGACACTGCGAGCGCAGCCTCCTGGAGGAGGTGGTCCTCCGCCTGCAGCCACAGGTCTACTCGCCTGGAGAGTACGTCTGCCGCAAGGGGGAGGTGGGCCGCGAGATGTTCTTCGTGCGTGAGGGGCAGCTGGCCGTGGTGGCCGACGACGGGGTCACGCCCTACGCCCTCCTCAGGGAGGGGCACTACTTCGGGGAGATCAGCATCCTCAGCATCAAGGGTAAGGTCCCACAAGCGGGGGTCACAGTTTTCATAGTGTCCAGCATACAGTATAGTTGCTTATGGAAGAGGGCAGCGATATCTGAGATACACAGACCTAAGTGTATCTGTCGGGGGTGCTTTGAATGGGATTGTCCCGCTTCTTGGCAGAATGGGGTTGGACTGGATGGCCCACCAGCTCTCTTCCAACTCGAGGATCCTAAGCAATCCTGGAATGCTGTCACCAGCAAGTCCATTGAGCACAGCAACGATCTTTTGACTCCCTCAAACAAATCATCAGATTTAGTCAGCCAGGAAGGCCTTTTGTCCGACCCCAAGGGACTCGCCCCTCTCCCCTTGCTACTCTCCCTCCCTTCTTCTTTCTTCCCTTCTGTCTGTCCCCTTCCCCTTCCTTCCTTCCTCTTTTTCTCCCTCTCCTTGCTACTCTCCCTTCTTTCTTCCTTCTTCCCGTTCTTTCATTCATTAGTACCTTAAATAATTCCCTTGCGAGAGGCATAACTAGTTAATTTTACCTTCACACACACACAAATGGTGTAATTTGCATGGCTGATTCTCCTTTTTTTACCCACTTTGCTCTTCTTACCTATCTCTTTATGACAGTCATTTATTCATTCATATATATATATATATATATATATATATATATATATATATATAATAATGATATAATAATAATTAAATAAAAAATGATAACCATTTTAAAAACCTTCACCATCCCCAAATGTTTAAATTTATTATTATTCATTATTAAATAAATAGTCATATTAAAATTAAGCTAATATCAACCTAATTCATAGATTAATTCCTAAATTATTATTTTATTAAATATTTAATGTAAAATTAAAATTAATCATAATTAATATTTTATAAATCTAATTGAGATATATACATTCTTTCTTAATTATTAATTATTAATTATTAAATTAAATAATATAATATTAAAATTATATAATAATTAACTAATTATACTCTAAAATCGTGTTAATATACAAATAAATATTATTTATTAAAAGTACGTAATAAATTAATAAATTAATAATTAATCTTTTTTTATAGCATTATTACCTTAATATAAATTATTTATATAATATTATATTAATATTATATTAATATTACATTATTATATTATGTGAACAGTTTTTGTGTCAATTATACTGATTAAAGAATAAAATAATCTTAAAATACAATATAAGTCATATCACATATTGTTGCATTTCCCTGAATTGCGGATATCGTCCCCTACATTCCATACATTATGTCATATTCCAATGTTATGTAGTTAAGGTGATACAATTCATTTCTTTTCTGTTCTGGTGAAATAATAATAACACATCTATTGCTTATATTAACATTATATTAATTATATTATATTTATATTATTAATTTTATATAATATAATATTTATATAATATAAATAATATAAATATAATATAATTAATTTATAATTATATAAATATAATATAATATAATTTATAAATAATATAAACATAATATAATTAATATAATATTTACATTATCAATATTATATTAATTACATTATATTAATAGTATATTAATATTAAATTAAATATCAATTTAGATGCCCTCTGGGGGTCCCTTCCAACTCTAGGATTTTATGATAGATATATTATAGATATAGGGAGTCCTTATCTTTGATGTGTTCTCTGGCATTGAAAGTGTATTTTGTTTTTCTGTAACTTTATGAATATTTTCTATTATAATTATAATTATAATATATTATAATATAATATATAATATATAATATGATAATATTATAATAATATAATATATAATATAATATATTAATTATTATTATTAATTATTATTAATAATTAATTATTAATAATTATTATTAATTATTAATTATTAATAATTATTATTAATTATTAATTATTAATGATTATTATTAATTATTAATTATTATTAATTATTATTATTATTAATTTGAATCAGCAGGTCAAATATGCCGAGAAACTGGGCTAACTTTTTGAGGCACCAAAATGCGATGATGTGGAGAAAGAAAAAGGAATTTCTATGGGTTTGATTTGTAATCTAAAGACACAAATATTCTAAACCCTAATACTAAATTTAGTCTATCAACCCAATTACATTTACATATACTACAGTATCAATCCACATAGGAAACACAAACACACATATTAAAACTGATGTTTGTTCATTTGGAATTAATGTATTACTATTAATCCTGCAATTTTATGCTGTCCAAAGAGACTTCCTCCATCAGCTAAAACTGCTGGGAAACAAAATATTTCAAGTGAATGCAAAGGCAATTTTAATATTCAAAGAATGCATCAATAGCAAGTCATTACATATGACAGAGAATGAATTAAGGCAGAGCAAAGACAAGAGCAATGTGCATATCTTCCTGCTTTGCAGTGCTGACAGTTTTTGGTTTCAAACATGCTATGTAAAATTATTAATTACTATTTTATACACTCTCAATTGATAATATAGATCAATTCTTAATTAGTTAATTATTACAGTACATATAGACCTTTAACTTGAAATAATTAAGTACTTTCTATATCACAATTGTAAATATAAACAATATTATTTATTATGTATGTAAACTACAATAAATCAAATAAATCAAATTCACTATTTTTCTATCATAACATTGTTATCTCCCTCCCTTATTAATGGAATCAGTGTGATGCTTCAGTACTAGAAAGAGTTCCCCTTCCATCATTCATTCTTTTCTTCTTTCCTCAGTCCTTTCTTTTTCTTCTTTCTTTCTGAATTAATTCCTTCTTTTTTTTAGAACCGTTACTGCCTTTGCTTGAGACCTTGAGTCCAACATTTCTTGTTATTTCTATTACCAACATGACCCGTTCCTTTCCTTCCTCCTTCCTTCCTCCTTCCTTCCCTTCCCCTTCTTCCTTTCCTATCCCATCCCTTCTTTTCACCCTTCCCCCTCCCTCCTTTTTCTTGCCATTCATGTCGCTCACCCTTCCTTCCTTCCTTCCTTCCTTCCTTCCTCCCTTCCTTTGCTTTCCTTCCTCCTTTTCTTCCTCCTTCTTTCCCTTCGCATTCTTCCTTTCCTATCCCATCCCTTCTTTTCACCCTCCCTCCCTCCTTCCTTTTCCTTGCCATTCATTTCTCTCATCCTTCCTTCCTTCCCCCTTTTCTTCTTCTTTCCCTTCGCATTCTTCCTTTCCTCTCCTTTCCTATCCCATCCCTTCTTTTCACCCTCCCTCCCTCCCTCCCATCTCTCCTCTTCCACTTCAATCCTTCCTTCCTCTCTCTCCTTGCTACTCTCCTTCCCTTCTTCCTTCTTCCTTCCATCTCTCCTCTTCCTTATTTCCTTCCTTCTCTTTTTCTCTCTCTCGTTGCTATTCTCCCTCCCTTTTTCCTTCTTCCCTTCCATCTTTCCGCTTCCACTTCAATCCTTCCTTCCTTTTCTCTCTTATTCCTACTGTCCCCCCTTCTTCCTTCTTCCCTTCCATCTGTCCTCTTCCACTTCAATCCTTCCTTCCTTCCTTATTTCTCCTTCCTTCTCTCTTTCTCTCTCCCCTTGCTACTCTCCCTCCCTTCTTCCCTTTTGTCTCTCCTCTTCCACTTCACTCCTTCCTTCCTTCCTTCTTTCTTACCTTCCTTCTTCCCTTCCTTGCTTTCTTCTCTCTCTCCTTGCTATTTTATCCCCCTTCTTCCTTCTTCCCTTCCATCTCTCTTCTTCTGCTTCAATCCTTCCTTCCTTCCTTCTTTCCTATCTACCTATCTTTCCTTTCTTCCCACTCCTCTCCCTTCCTTCTTCTTCATTCCCTCCATCCCTGGCTATTTTGCCCCTATGCATGACTAGGCTAGAGAGAAGATGGGATCCATAGTCCAAAGCACTGGGGCAGGGGGCTTCCCTTCAGACACCCTCCCTTCCCACACTGGCCTGGCCTGGCCTGGCCTGGCCGCTCCTTGGCCAGAGGACTGACCATGCCAGGGAGCCCCCTCCTGAGGGCCCTTGACCCCTTCATTTTTGTTGTTGTTGTTGTTGTTGCTATGTTTTTGTTTATTTATAACCTGCTTTTTCTGTCTTCCTTTGTGTTGCTGTCAGGTTTTTTTCAGACTGTTATGGTCATGTTCCAGCAGCATTTTCTCCTGACATTTCATCTACATCTGTGGCTGGCTTCTTCAGAGGCTCTGTTGGCAACGAAGCAATCTGTCAAATAATATCCAGGGTGGGAGAAAGAACCCTTGTCTGTTTAAGGAAATGTGAATGTTGCAATAAGCAAGCTTGAACAGCATTGAGTAGCCGTGAGGCTGCAAAGTCAATCAGTGACAGTATCTGCATAGAGGGAGCCTGGCTGTTGTTGCCTGGAGGCACCCTCTGTTTGGGAGGTGTTCACTGGCCCTTGATTACATGACGCTTGGAGTTCCCCCTGTTTCTGAGTGATCTTCTTTATTTACTCTCTTGGTTCTGGTGTTTTTGAATAATGAACACACTTTCCGAATGGGGGTGCCTCCAGGCAACAGAAGCCAGGCGACCTCTCTCTCTATATATACATATACTTCACTGCCAACAAAACCTCTGATTAGCCACAGATGGAGGTGAAACATCAGGAGAGAATGCTACTGGAACATATTGGCCATGGAAGCCTTCGACAACACGCCTCCCTTCCTTGCTTGCTTGCAGGCAACCGTTCGGGCAACCGGCGCACGGCCAACATCCGCAGCCTGGGCTACTCGGACCTCTTCTGCTTGTCCAAGGGAGACCTGGCCGAAGTGCTGGCCGAGTTCCCCAGCGCCAAGGAGGCCCTAGAGGCCAAAGGTCGGGAGATCCTGCTCCAGATGGGCCAGCTGGACACCCAGGTGGAGGCCCGAGAGGAGGCCCGGCGGCGGGAGGAGCAGTGCCGGACCGAAGCCCTGCAGCAGCGCCTGGACGCCCTCCAGACCCGCCTGGCCCGCATGCTGGCCGGCCTGGAGTCCGGGGCCCTCAAGCTGACCCTGCGCCTGGAGCGGCTGGAGGGGGGGCCGGGAGGGGAGTGCCCCCCCTGAGAAGCCCTGAGACAACTCCCACTCCCTCCCCTCTCAGCCCCCCCTCCCCATCCAGCCAGTGGCCAGTCCCCCTGGGCCCAGACCAAAGGCCACCTCCTTGGACTGGGAACCTCCTGGACAGACACCCCCCTTCCCAGCCCCACTCTCCCTTCATTTGGAGTTGGTCTGAATGACCTTCAATGGACTTGCCGTGGGTCCGAACCCTCTCCCAAGACTCACCTTCAGCGACTCCAGGGATTGGTCAGTCATGGTCAGCTGACCCTTGACCCTGCAGTTGTGGGTCCAAATCCTCTCTCAAAACTCACCTTCAGCAACTCCAGGGATGTGTCAGCAATGGTCAATCATGGTTAGTTGACCCTTGACTCTGCAGTCACAGATCCAAACCCTCTCCCAAGACTCACCCTCAGCTACTCCAGGGCTGTGTCAATAATGGTCAGCTGACCCTTGACCCTGCAGTCATGAGTTCAAATCCTCTTCCAAGACTCACCCTCAGCAACTCCAGGGATTGGTCAGTCATGGTCAGCTGACCCTTGACCCTGCAGTTGTGGGTCCAAATCCTCTTTCAAAACTCACCTTCAGCAACCTCAGGGATGTGTCAGCAATGGTCAGTAATGGTCAGCAGATGCTTGACTCTGCAGTCACAGGTCCAAACTCTCTCCCAAGACTCATCCTCAGCTACTCCAGGGGTGTCAGTAAGGGTCAGCTGACCCTTGACCCCATAGTCATGGGTCCAAACCCTCTCCCAAGACTCATTCTCACTTACTCCAGGGATGTGTCAAGAATGGTCAGTAATGGTCAGCTGACTCTTGACCCTTCCCGTGCAGTTGTAGGTCCAAACCCTCTCCCAAGACTCATTCTCAGCAACTCCAGGGATGTGTCAGTAATGGTCAGCTGACCCTTGACCCCATAGTCGTGGGTCCAAACCCTCTCTCAAGACCCACCTTCAGCTACTCCAGGGATGTATCAGTAATGGTCAGCTGAACCTTGACCCTGGACTCACAGGTCCAAAGTCAGCTGTCCCTTGACTCCACAGTCACAGGTCCAAACTCTCTCCCAAGACTCACCCGCAGCTACTTCAGAGCTGTGTCAGTAATGATCAGCTGACCCTTGACACTTGACCCTGCAGTCATGAGTCCAAATCCGCTCCCAAGACTCACCCTCAGCAACTCCAGGGATTGGTCAATCATGGTTAGCTGACCCTTGACTCTGCAGTTGTGGGTCCAAACCTTCTCACCTTCAGCAACTCCAGGGATGTGTCAGCAATGGTCCAAACCCTCTCCCAAGACTCACTCTCAGCTTCTCCAGAGATGTGTCAGTAATGTTCATTAATGGTCAGCTGACCCTTGACCCTACAGTCATGAGTTCAAATCCTCTTCCAAGACTCACCCTCAGCAACTCCAGGGAATGGTCAGTCATGGTTAGCTGACCCTTGACTCCGCAGTCATGGGTCCAAACCTTCTCTCAAGACTCACCCTCAGCAACTCCAGGGATTTGTCAGCAACAGTTAGTAATGGTCAGCTGACCCTTGACCCTGAAGTTGTGGGTCCAAACTCTCTCCCAAGACTCACCTTCAGCAACTCCAGGGATGTATCAGCAATGGTCAGTAATAGTCAGCTGACCCTTGACAGTTTAACCACTCTCCCCCAAAAATCAACTTCAGCAACTCCAGGGATTGGTCAGTCATGGTCAGCTAACCCTTGACCCTGCAGTTACAGGTCTAAATCATCTCCCAAGACTTACCCTCAGAAACTCCAAGGATGTGTCAGCAATGGTTAGCTTGCAATGGACGTACACTGACCGGAGCCTCCAGCAGGTGGAGGGAGTCTTGGTCAGTCATCCCTGCAGCCGCATTATCTGGAGTGGCACCGAACCCTTCGGCCAGAGAGGATCCATCCAGTCACATCAGATCTGATGCCATCACTTCGGGTGGCAGCCTGGAAGCGGCCATTGCCCAGAACGCACGCAAGGCGCCGGCGGTCCTGACCCGCCGGACCTGCCGTTTGCCACAAAAGTGCACTGACCGCAGCGGGAGCACAAACACCCAGAAGACTTTCCTTCAGAGGCGGAAGAGCCATACTTTGGACAAACTGGAGCATTGAGAGCAACCAAGTCAGCATATCCATTCCCAGAATAGCAGCCTATATTCTATTGATTTGTGATCATATTTAGTATGTGCCTCTCTCTTGTTGATGCAGAACAGAGTATTTTGCCTCTCTTATTACTTGGTGTGTCTTCTTTGGGGATTCATGTGGGAACAGTGCACTTTTGTACCATGGTGCACTATGAGTTGTCTATGGGAAAAGGAAGGGGCCTGAGGCTGTGAGGAATGGTGGGAGTTGGAGTCCAAAACAACTGGAGGGCCCAAGCTGGCCAATACCTGGTGTATAAATATACCTGCCTGCATTTCAGTGCAGGGCCTGAGATGCACCTCATTTGACCAAGGAGGGAAGGAACCAAGACGGATGGACTATAGTGTCCACTCTCTTTGCCCTTTCCCCTTCCATAGAGATGACCCCCTTCCTGCAAGATGACCCCTCCCCTTTGCAGAGAGAGAAGCCCTCCCTCTCACTCTTCCAGGTAAACAGCGGCAGCACCTGTGTCAACACCTGCGGGAAGGTAAACATGGCATGCTTTCTTCGGCCGAGCGCTGCTGGGAGACGCAGACCCTCTCCCCCCCCCCAAAGTGGAATGCTACACTGGACACCGGCTTGAGGGGGAGGGGCTGACTGACCACCTCTAAGGACCCCCCTCTTCTCCACCTTTCTGTTTCAAGAATGACACTCTGCACACACTCAGGGGCACTCTTGGAAAGGGCGAGGTTGTCCTTTGGGGAAAGGGAACCCAGAACTCTGCTTATGCTTAAAGGCATTGAAAGGCAACCCAAGGGACATCCACTCCTTTGGGAAGGAAGACACCATTCGATCCCTCCTGACAGATGGCTACCCAACCTCTGCTTAAAAACCTCCAGAGAAGGAAGGAGACTCCAACAGAGTCAGAGGTGTCGATAGATTCCCTGTTGAACAGGACGTTCTTCCCAGTGTTGAGGTGGACCTCTTCCTCTCCTCCTCCTCAATGGGACATCCTTCCAAATATGTAAACATGGCCACCATGTCCTCTTTCTCCCAACCTTCTCTTCTCCAAGTGAAACATCTCCATCTCCCTCTGCTGCTCCTCAATGAGTCCCATAGTTTCCTGACCTTGGCCCACTTTAGTCACCCTTCTCTGGACCCCTTTCCTCTTGTCCATCTCCTCCTGAGAAAGGGACATGAGAATGGTGTCCTAAGGAGGACTTGTTTTCTGGTGCTCGGGAGACTAGGACTTGGAGCCATGGGTTCAAACGACAGGAAAGGAGATTCCACCTGAACACGAGGAAGAACTTCCTGACTGTATGAGCTGTTCAACAGTGGAACTCTCTGCCTCAGAGTCCGGTGGAAGCTCCTTTCTTGGAAGCTTTTAAGCAGGCTGGATGGAGGCTTGGACTGTGCATTTCCTGCATGGCAGAAAGAAGGGAGTTGGACTGGATGATAACAATAATAATAATAATAACTGTATTTCTTAGCCACCTCTCCCCAAGACTTGATTGTAGGGTTCCATTATTATTATTATTATTATTATTATTATTATTATTATTATTATTATTATTATTGAGCAGGGGCAGGGTGGCCATCTGTCAAGGATGTTTTGTGCTTTTCCTGCATGGCAGAAAGAAGGGGGTTGAAGTGGATGGCCTTTGGGGTCTCTTCCAAGTCCAGTATTCCATTATTATTGTTATTATTATTACTATTGTTGTTGTTCATTCGTTCAGTCGTCTCCGACTCTTCGTGACCTCATGGACCAGCCTACGCCAGAGCTCCCTGTCGGCCGTCACCACCCCCAGCTCCTTCAAGGTCAGTCCAGTCACTTCAAGGATGCCATCCATCCATCTTGCCCTTGGTCGGCCCCTCTTCCTTTTGCCTTCCACTTTCACCAGCATAATTGTCTTCTCTAGGCTTTCCTGTCTCCTCATGATGTGGCCAAAGTACTTCAACTTTGTCTCTAGTATCTTTCCCTCCAGTGAGCAGTCGGGCTTTATTTCCTGGAGGATGGACTGGTTGGATCTTCTCGCAGTCCAAGGCACTCTCAGCACTTTCCTCCAACACCACAGCTCAAAAGCATCGATCTTCCTTCGCTCAGCCTTCCCTAAGGTCCAGCTCTCACATCCGTAGGTGACTACAGGGAATACCATGGCTTTGACTAGGCAATGGATCTTTGTTGCCAGTCTGATGTCTCTACTCTTCACTATTTTATCGAGACTGGACATTGCTCTCCTCCCAAGAAGTAAGCGTCTTCTGATTTCCTCGCCACAGTCTGCATCTGCAGTAATCTTTGCACCTAGAAATACAAAGTCTGTCACGGCCTCCACGTTTTCTCCCTCTATTTCCCAGTTGTCAATCATTCTTGTTGCCATAATCTTGGTTTTTTTGTTTAACTGCAACCCAGCTTTTGCACTATCTTCTTTCACCTTGATTAGAAGGCTCCTCAGCTCCTCCTCGTACAGTATCACTTCCTTGTAAATAACTACCTTCTTGCTGGTTCTCCAGCAATTTTCACCCCAGCTTGCACTCCGCCGCGCACATCGCATGATGTGTTCTGCATACAAGTTAAAAAGGTTGGGTGAGAGATGCAGCCTGCCGTACGCCTTTCCCAATCTTGAACCACTCTGTTGTTCCATGGTCAGTTCTTACTGTTGCTACTTGGTCCTTGTACACATTCCTCAGGAGAGAGACAAGGTGGCTTGGGATGCCCATCCCACTAAGAACTTGCCACAATTTATTATGATCCACAGTCAAAGGCTTTAGAATAGTCAATGAAGCAGAAGTAGATGTTTTTCTGAAACTCCCTGCCTTTCTCCATTATCCAGCGGATATTGGCAATCTGGTCTCTCGTTCCTCTGCCTTGAACAGCTTGAACATCTGGCAACTCTTGCTCCATGTATTGCTGGAGTCTTCCTTGCAGGATCT